GTCCGCCTGCCGATGCAGGGGATACGGGTTCATGCCCCGGTCCGGGAAGATCCCACATGCTGCGGAGCAGCTGGGCCCGTGAGCCATGGCCGCTGAGCCTGCGCGTCCGGAGCCTGTGCTCCGCAACGGGAGAGGCCACAGCAGTGAGAGGCCCGCGTACCACAAAAAAAAAAAAAAAAAAAGACAAAACTAATCTTTGCTGTTAGAAATCAGGACAGTGGCTACCCTTTGGTAGAGGTAATGATGGGAGGAGACACAAGGGTGCTTCTTGTTGCTGATAATATTCTCTTCCTTCACATGGGTGCTGGCACAGCAGAGTGATTAAGGAGCCTGGCTCTGGGGACTTACCTGGTGGTGCAGTGGTTAAGAATCCGCCTGCCAATGCAGGGGACATGGGTTCGATCCCTGGTCCAGGAAGATCCCACATGCCGCAGAGCAACTAATCCCATGCGCCACAACTCCTGAGCCTGGACTCTAGAGCCTGCACTCCGCAACTACTGAGCCCGTGTGCTGCAACTTCTGAAGCCCGCGTGCCTAGAGCCCATGCTCTGTAACAAGAGAAGCCACTGCAATGAGAAGCCTGTGCACCGCAACAAAGAGTAGCCCCCACTCACTGCAACAAGAGAAAGCCTGAGCACAGCAACGAAGACCCAAAGCAACCAAAAATAAATAATAAAATTTTTAAAAATAAATAAAATAGAACAGATGACTAATAAGGTATTTAAAAAAATTAAAAAGGAGCCGGGCTCTGGAATGGGAGTGACTGCATTAGAATCTCAGTTCCATCACTTACTAGTTATGATTTGGGGCAAGTTATTTAACTTCTCTGTGCCTCATTTCTTCATCGATAAAATGGGCCTAATGTCTCCTTCACAGGGTTAGTCTGAGGATTAAATCATCATAAGACTTGTAAAATGCTTATTTGCACAGTTGGCTATTACTATTAAATATCTGCTGAGTAAACAAAAGCGCTTATTCTGAAGCAATGCAACAAGATGAGGAAGGAAACCAATACATATATGATTGCACTATTGCCAGAAAATGCACAAAATAATTATTGGGGAAATGAAGATGACAATAAGTAAAGTCTAGTATAAAGGGGCGTGATCTGGAAGCTGAGACTAGGCCTAGAAACCTTCACCTAAACAGACCCTGGGCAAGCAGGGCAAGCCTCTCTGAGCCTGCAGCTCCCAGCAGTACACCAGAGGCTGGCCCAGTGATCTCTCCAGGGCGATAAGTATAAACAAGTGGAGGCACTGATCAGAAAATGGAGAGGGCTGAGCTCACAGTCAGGCTCTCTTATTCTCTGAAAGGACTCTGAAATCTTCTGTGTCTCTGAATTTCACCTAATGCTTATGTTTTTTAAAATATCTATCATGTCTATCAGCCATGTCTTTGTCACTTGGGGTCACATTTCCCGCAGCCATTCTGAGTAAATAATTCATACTTCTGACGGGTTTCTGAAAGAGCCAGTTGGATTAGTTGCTGTCACCCATACCATGGAAGTGTATTCTCTGGCCATGTGATAATAGCTACTCTTTATTAAACGCTACTTCCACGCCAGGCACTATAATAAATACTTTATTCCCAAGTCTCAAAAAATTCTGCAAAGCATGTAGTATTCTTCCTTATTCTCATCCTTTACAGACAAGAAAACTAAGGCTCAGAAAGGCTGCCCTGTTCATTAAGTGGCAGAGCTGGAAGGTGAATCTAGCCTGTCTGGCTCCAGAAAAAACGCTCTTTTCCTGAGCCATAGTCCCTCGACTCACTTTATAATCTATCATATTTCTTCTTACTTGTATAACAAAAGGTCTTAGCTAAGGTGTTATAAAACAAGAATAATCTAATTCGGTGAAAAGTCAATTTTGGATATTCTATAAATGATTACTTTTGTTTCTAAGTAAAGGTCTCCTCCTGGATTTATTTAAATGAATACTGTACATTGAAGCTATTTGTATTAAACAGCAGTCATCCAAACCATAGGTTAAAGCCCTTAGAAGAGATTTATACTTCTTTCCTCCTGAATCCCCAGTGCCCAGATCAGTGCTTGGCCTAGAGAAGACACTTAACAAAAGTATCTTGAACATCACCTCCTTCAAATCTTGTTTACCAAAATACTCTACTAACAAGTAGGATGCATTCCAACAAGAAACTTTAGTACCTGAAACTTCATGACCAAAATTAAAAATAATATGCGAGTCACTGGGATATCCTTCCTGCTATAGGATACTCTTCCAGGTCAAGCGGCACTGTCATCATCAACAAGTAATTATTAAACACCTATAAATATTTACTTAATATAGTAACCCAGTATCCCTTCTCTTCTCTCTCCTTCCCCATCAGGTTTGGCAAAACATAGAAACTATAGTCCCCCTCCAGGCAGGCCGGCCTCTGTACATGTAGTAGAGACCATACAAAGACACAAATGTCACATGTGATTAAGGCAGCTTTTCCGAGTTAAACCAACAGAAAGGCCTCAGGAGTTTGACCTTTCCCCCAATTAGACCCATGTCCTAGCACTTTTCCAGGAGCCCTGAAATTGCAGCCCTGAATAACCTTCTCCCCCCACCTCCTCAGTCAACCACACAACCCTGAGGAAACAAGAAATTTCTCCCAATGTCTGTCATACCTATTCCTAATTCATCTAAAAGATATACTTTGTTCACTAAGGATTCACTGAATGTGTCAGCATATACTATTAAAATTTTTCTTTAAAAACTCTATCTTCATAGAGGGTGTACAGAATATGAGTGTCCTATGGGGAAAGTATACCAGAATTAGAAAGGTGGGGTCTATTTCTCTACCTTTATTTTTTGGCCGGGCCATGGGGCTTATGGGATCCTAGTTTCCGGACTAGGAGTTGAACCAGGCCCTTGAGAGTGAAAGCACTGAGTCCTGACCACTGGACCACCAGGGAACTACCTCTATTTCTCTACTTTACCTTCCACTGCAACTTAGGCAAGTCATTTATCCTCCTAGGCTTTACCTTCCTCAGCCATAAAATGAGAGGTTGAACTAGTCAAGGATTTTTCAGGGCATTCACTCAAGATGCCTTATGGGCTTAAGGCATGTGCTTTAAGGGGTTCTTAACCCTCCCCACCCCCAGGGAACTTATATAAAAAATTACTTGTTTGTGTATGTGGATTTTTCTGGAGAAGTCTATGGCTTATATCAAATTGTCACACAAGTTGTGGCCCCCAAAATAGCCATATCTCATGTTTTATGAGCACTTACTATGTGCTAGGCACTGCACCAAGCCCTTGTGTATTAACTCATATAACCCTCACAATAACCCTTTGAGTTAGATACTATTATTATCCTCATTTTACAGTTAAAGAAAGTAAACCAAAAGGACTTCCCTGGCGGTCCTGTGGTTAAGACTTCACCTTCCAGTGCAGGGGTGAGGGTTCGATCCCTGGTGGGGGAGCTAGGATCCCCCATGCCTGGGGCCAAAGAACCAAAACATAAAATAGAAGCAATATTGCAACAAACTCAATAAAGACTTTAAAAAAAAAAGAAAGAAACCAGAAAGAGCCTGGGCTTTTAAACACAGTGGTATGTTAGGTAAGGTCATCTCTAAACTTTAAAATTCTCTGATTCTGTGTTCACTCAAATTAATGGTTTTCCTTTAGTTAAATTTTGTCTCATTTCACAATCATTAGTCCTACACATAAGTCTTTACACAGAACAACCAAATTTATGGAACACCCAAATGAATGTTACCTGAAAAACAATATACTAGGGAATTAACCAAGTAAAGGGTCCAAAGGCACTTTCCAGCTCCAGCCTCCAATCTGCTTTTTTTTTTTTTCCAATCTGCTTTTACTTTTAAAACATGGTGTGGTGATTAACCAAAAGATGTATCTGAATCGAATCGAATGACTAATTAAAGTCTAAAATCAAAGTAACAGTAAATTGGCCAGTGTCTGCCAGAAAAGGAGATGCAGTGACAGCAATAGTGTCTCACACACCACTCACCAAAGCAATGAGAAGACCAGGAAAGACACATGAGTGCAAGGTCTTGGGTCCCATGTTGACTGGCTTCTCCCCCTACTCGCACCTCCTGAAAACCACTGACCACTGTGGAGCCAAGGATTGGATCACTCTCCATGTGACAGACAACGGCTGTCTAAAAGTATTAAGGTATCACCAAAGCCCCACTTGGAATAAGGAGTGAAAACGAACTGAAAGGCTAGCTTCCAATTTTTGTGGACACCAGTTCTGACAACCTGCAATCGTAATCAGGGGTCAGCAGTCACCCAATTACAACTGAATTGTTTTGCCTGTCACCTGGCTCGGGTCCTAATGACTTGAGGGACATCACATTGCTTAATAAATGACTGCAAAGTAGAAGTGGGCGTCGTTAGCTCTTTTCACAGGCTGTCAAAAAACCTCCACATCTTAAAGGGAAGGTTGTTGAAACTTTATGCCCCACTCTCATGGCCCTTCTCCATTTAGTCTATGTAAGGAGAAGAGAAGCAAAGGAAGGAGAAAGGAGATCAGAGGAACGGCCCTGGGTGCAAGGATTAGCTTCTTCAAGGGTGATGTAACAGGGTCAGCCAGACGATGAAGAGGAGGAGCTGGGTGCTTCTGGGAAGGCGAAACCAGTGTCGGGGTTGGGAATCTGAACGGAATATGGGTTACGCGGGACTGGGTGACAGGGTAATTTAGAAGGGGCCGGGGAAGAAGGATCTAGCCGGGAGCAGAACTAGGAAGAGGAAGGCCGGGGTGGCGGTGGTGGGCGGGTCAAGAGGCGGGCAGACGGCCCCGAGGGAGGGGCAGCGGGTCCTCAGCCGAGAGGAAACACAGCGGGGCGGGCAGGAAAGGATGGAAACCGCGGGGTCCACGGAGTGACGGGCAAAGGGCCCAGAGGGCATGCAAGGGAGGACGGGGTGACCTGCCCGGCGGTGTGGGAACAGAGGGTGCGCGCAGCCGGTCAGGAGACCCTTGGGGTCGGGAGGGCCGGGGGGCTGTTAGGCTGGGGAGGAGAGCCTGGGCACCCGCGCAAGGGCAGGGGCGCCGGGTCCCGGAGGGCCCAGGGCCAGGGAAGAGCAGAATGGTGACAACGTTCGGGGCCACCGGAGCGGGGAGGCGGCCGTCCGGCTCGAGTTGAGGCGGGGATAGCCGCCGAGTCCCGGCTCGGGCTGAGGAGAGGGAGGCCGGCCAGGAGCACGGCGTCAGGGAGGAGGGTCGAAGGGGGCGAGGAAGGGCCCGGGACCGCTGGGGCCGGCGCTGGCGCTCTCACCGGGACAGGTGCTTCAGGATCTGCTTCTTAATGAGCCCGGCCATGCCGGAGCCGCGGCCCGCGTGGAAGGCAGGCGGGCAGCTGTGTTCTCCTCAGCCGCCGAGAAGAGGCGGCCCCTCACCTCGCCGCAGCGCGGGGACCGGACGCCGCCGCCACAGCTGCCGCCATGGCGCCCTCCCGCCCCTGCCCCGGCAACCGGAGCTCCGCCACGA